GTAATTTCAAAAACTTAATAAAGTACTAGCGTGACTGCTTATATGTTAAAAAAAAAAAAAAAAAAAAAAAAAAAAAGTTTTGATTCAGATAATTATCAAAAAGAATGTCAGAAAATATTTTTTCAATAAATGCATGTATAACTATTTGTAACCTCTAATATAAAAAAAACTCTGAAAACATCTATGTTTAACAAAAACTTAAATAAAAAAATTATTCTTCAAAGATAAAAAACTTTAATTTAAAAAAAAAATTCATATCTTGCTAAGTTTTTAATAATTTTACTATCATTAAAATAAAAAATTTACATCTAATTATATATAAAAATGATCAATATTGTACTCTACCCTTAATAATAGCATAACTGTTTAGTCTAAAGTTACACAAACAAAAACAAATTTTAATTGCCTACAAAACGTTACACAAACATGTGAATTCACTATCCTCGGGTACAACGAATACTCGGATATACCGAGTAACCCGTGGGTTTATTCGTCGGTTAACTGAGTAACGTTTTTTTAATTGAGTATAATCACTAGTACGAGTCGTATTTGTATTTTGAATGCAACCAATCAATATCAAGAATGCTAACTCAAAAATCAGTTCTCCAGACTTTTTATGGAACATAAATAAAAAAAAATTAGTCTCACGACACGTCATATAAGATGCCCACGTCGCAATAATTGAAATAATATATAGTATATTTACAGTATTTTTTTTCATATTACATAATATGAAGTTACATTAATAAAAAGTCCTTTTAATTTCTATGTAATATTTCTTTAACCAAAAATGAATTAATTAGATATTTTGGATAAATAACCATAATATAATGAAACTATCATACCTTTTCGTACTTTATTTTACAAGGTATACTGCTGTTCAATCTGTAGGAAAATTAAATTATACAACTTTCTCTTTATATATATATATAATTTTTTACCAAACCGTTTATACAAACTCCTTCCAATATAGCACATAAAAACAATAATTGACATAATAAATTCGATTAAGTTATAAAATCCAACAAATATTTCATAAGAAAATGTATATATCCAAATTATGTTAAATAATGTACAATAGCCCACATAGAAAATAAAGTAATAATTACACCACCTATAAAAATCCATTTATCCTGAGTTGATCTACGTTCTATATATTGAATAACATTACGTGATAACCCAAGAGTATTTGCTGCATCAAGCATCTTTCTTTGTGCATTCTATAACAATCTCATTAGCTTATTTTTGTTAAACATGAAAAATTTTTTATACGAATATCATGACAAACCTTTAAAGTATTATTTTGGTCATACAGGTTATGCAGTACTTCTCTTCCATGTGCTATGAATTCATCAAGTTTTGAATCAGTTTCATTAATAAAATCATGCTCTCGAAGTGCATGTTGTTCTCTGGTTACACCGTGTTGAAAGGGATATTCAGGCTGTTGCGAAAACAAAAAAGAGACATAAGTATAATGTTATTATCTTCACATAAATAGATGATTGATATAAACTTACTGTAGATGTATTATGTCTTCGTCCCAGTAATTCTGCCCTGTTATTTTGTGTCATCTATGAAATCCAAAATATATTAATTAAATATTTTCGGATAATAGATCAAGAATCTTGATAAAGCAAACCTTATTCGCTTCTCGTTGCTTCAGCCTATCAAACTGATTTTTTAATTCGTTATAGTTATCCCTTAACTTGCATACATTACTAAATAATAATTGATGACATGAATTATTTAAAAATTAATGATTTAATTCTCAGTCTATAAGTTAAAGAATAAAAAACATACACTAAAGCTTTCTCTTGCTTTACAAGTATCATTTCTCTTTTGGCCAAACTATCATAATCATCAATTGTTCGTTTTAATGAGGTAAGACCAACCGATATCTGACCTATAGATCAAGGAAAGACACAAACTTATTTGAAAAGGATCAAATGTACAACGTATATTGAGTGTTCAATAAAAGCAGTAATTACACTACCTTGTAGCCCAACAGAAACGTCCTCCCCGTTTTCAAACTTTTCTAGATCTTGTCTAAGACCTTGTTCTTGTTTTAAGGCATGTTTGTATAAATTACTCATATTAAATTTATGGGCAATTAAAGCAAAATGTCGAAAAAAAACTATAAAACAATAATAAACCAAATAAAAATAGCGATAGGTGAATGTAGAAGTGCTAAAAAAACTGTCGACTTTTTTGACCAATAATATTTTTACAACAATTTAAGTATAGAAACTCGGTTTTTATTGGCTACTGAACCACTCTAGTAGGTGCATTCCGATTGGCTAATCTCGTCCTAAAACTAACCAATAATATCGCACGTTATTATAGTAAAAGTTAGTAAGTAGGGATTGGAACCGTTTAACCGTTTAAAAATTGCACCATAGTTCCGGGCAGAATTATGTTGGTCGTGGGCCGGAATTATTTTAATGCCGGCCAAATTAAACGGTTAAACGATTAAGAAAAATTCTAGGCGGCTCCAATTCCTAGTAAAAAGTATAGAAATTTTAGGGATGCATCAAAAAATGGATGTTTTACTCGTAGGAGAATATATCTGATTTGTGATTACCCATGAAAATCAACCAATCAAACATCATTTTTATAATTAAAGAAGCCTATATGAATTAATAAGAAAAAAAAAATACTATTTACCAAAACCGCTACAATCAACAGACACAAAAACGTTACAAAAACCAAACGAACTCAAACATAAACCAGGTTCTTTTATTGAAGAAGGTTTACATTTACAAATATATACTAGTTAAACAGTCAGTAATAATTTTTTTAGCTTAGCATTTCAATTACCTTTCTTAGTTGATTGTCTACAATATTTATATAAAATAATTTCATATGGTCCAATGAACGTTGAATAAATTTGGTCTTTTAAGTAAACTATGTCAGTTTTGAGATCTTTTTGAGATTCTTTGTTGCAATGAATATTGTCGTTCATTGAAAGCTAAAACCAAGTTTTTCAACGATTTTTTGTTGTGCTACCAAAAAGTACTTTAAAATGCATAAATAAGTTACCCAAGCAATTGAATTACATCATTTAATCATACGAATGTCCTCTTATGAAATCATGGCTTATTTTGCTTGTGACAAGTTTCTTATTTTATTGTGACTTTGACATTTGGCTTATAAGAGTGTGAATTCTGTATAATCACTTTATTGCAACATATAAAAAAATAATTTTACAATACCGCTAGAGCACACCGGGTGAAGAATCAGTTGTATAACATCCTGTTGGTGTGACCTCTGCAGATCATTGCATCATAGCGATTTCTCGATTCTAAAGAATTAGATATCCAAATCAATATAGATATTACTATTGAATACGTATCGGTATATGATTTATAGACAATCTAGAATCTCCAAAATTCACTACTATCATTATCACAAAAGTCGTGGGTTACACCTTTTTAGATTTAGAATCGATTCTAAAGTATATAAATGCTTTATATTAAAATATAAGGTAAAGTGGGGTATTATGATACACTTAAAAGTTGCTTATATAAAAATTTCCAAAAAAATATATTTATTCTTGAAATTTATTGAAATAAATTATTTACCGAATTAACTATCTACTAATAAAAAAAAAATTAATGTTTTTTAAAAAAAATTAGAAATATGACCTTTCAAACTCTACTCAAAAAATGCTAGTTTTAACATTTTGAAGGTATTATAGCATACATCAGATATGTCGAACTAATGTTGTTATAGTATTACAGAATATACATGAAAATTTATACAGATAAGTATAGCACAGCATAACCATGCATAATTATCTTTCTTTTTTTACATAATTGTTCTTCTTTTTTTCAATCATTTTTATCATTTTTCTTTTTTTTCAGTTTTCCAATCAGCTTGTTTTTGGATTGCTTCTTTTTTTTTTTTTTTTGTATTTCTACTTTACTTTTTTGTTAACTTATCTGCTTCTTTTAGAGTATTTAAAAAATTTTTATTAGTAAGAAATCAGACAAACAGCTAAGTTTTTTGTTTTTTTGATTGATTAAATTTCTTTTTCTTGATCTGTATTGAAACTTGAGAATTAGAATACTTAAGGATTAGTTTTAATAAACAGGTATCAGAATTTTTAAATGTCTTAAGTTCTTCTTTAAGTAGCATGTTTTCTTTTTTTAAAGCATAAATTTCTAATTCTAATAATTCATTTTTTTTAATAACTCTAATATGTATAAAGTAGTTTGAAGAAAATGATGTAGAAAAAAATAATGTAAAAGAAAATGATATAGAAAAAGATGGTGCAGATAAAAAAGGTATAGAAAAAGATAATGTAAAAAAAAACAATATAAAAAAAAACAATATAAAAGAATAATTAGTCTGTTAAGATGTTAAAAATAAGATATTAATTTGTTTAGTAGTTAAAAAGGAATTGAGATGATAAGAGTTAATGATATTAGGATTAAAAGGTCAAATGTTTGTAGTTCTAAAAGCATTAGTTATTATTATAGGAATATAAGTCTTGATAAACATAAAATCAAGCATTTTAGCAAATATGTGTTTAGTTATTAATTTGTTAGTTACATAATAAAGTTAGTTACAATTTTTACTATATTCAATTTTAAGTTTAGTAAAAAAAAGTTTTAATAACTAAAGAATATGTATTATATAAAATAATATATCTACAAAATTCTATTTTTATAACAAAAATTAATATTCATATAATTTATATAACTGTTATAACTATTAAGTATTAAAAAAACAAAAGAAATAGAATTTATAAAATGTTCAATATATATTTAAAAGAGTTTTTTACATATATATTCTGAGTCAATAAAGCTCATAACTGTATCAGATAAAGTATTATTTAATAAATAAAAAATTACATAAACATTCTTATATATAATGAATAGAGAGATATAATTACTAGTAACTAAAATTGTTGATACTACTGAAATATAATTGTGAGAATTACTATGTATAATCTTATGAACTTAATAGGTTTCTTTTTTTGTAAGAGCTTTTTGAATCTTAAAAGCTAAAGTGCAGAATACTATAAACTGACACCTCTTTTTATAGTAGGCACCAAATTTTGAAAATCTGCAGAGTCACATGTCAAAAAGAATAGTCAATAGAAATTTAACAATATATTGTAATAAAATTTACTAAAAACTATCAAGCTGTAGCAAATTTTAAAGTGATGAAGGTCGAGTGGAAGATCT